AAACAAGGTCGTCTGCAAACAGCAACCTTCTCGACTTCACATCTCCTATACCGATACCCTCATCACCTTAAAACAACTATGAATTTTGTTTTAAAATCTTAGCATTACTTAAATAAACAATGCTTCAGTGGGCACTGGGCAACAGTAAAGATACTCGACCATTGATAACCCTGAAGGTGTACTGTCTACAAACTACGGTGCAGTGATTACGACAAGGTGTACATTGGAAAGATCAACTAAAAAATTGTGCTTCAAGATACACCAGCACCTTTTCGCCACCCAACAGGCTGACAGTTTCGGTATTACCCAACGCACAATTACTGAAGGGCATTCTTTCAGTCAGGCCAATGTGTCTGTTATAGACAAAGACCAATCTAAACTAGGTCTGCTGATAAATTAGTCCATGCATAGATTGATAATGAAAACCAATTCATATCTTCTGTTGTTATTAGTGAAAGCAGGGGGACGATTGCAAAAATGATGCGATCGCTATGATGAGAACTTCACACTCTAGCCGTTCGGTTTAACAACGTTCTGACTGTAGAGTACTGTTCGCTTGTTGGCCATGTGCCTGTAAGTACTCTACTGAAACTTGAATATGGTAACATATGGGAGTTATGAATATAAGCTTGGAGAAACGACGGCATATCTTCAATGTCTCATATGTCCTCGTTATCGGTGATCGCATCCACGATCATCATCGATCGATCATCGCAATGCGAAAGCTGTCCATGGAAAGGACAACGGAGTGAGACAATAAATTTTGCAGTGATTCTGTTTTTGTACGTTGTTCAAATAAGTAGTTCTGAAAATACGTACCGTTCGCTTGCTCTTTTCAAACGACTGATCCGAAACCTTCATGACCGGCTTCGTCAGCCAAATCTGATAGCCAATGAAACAGTACGCACAGTTAATAATCACTAAAGGCACGAAGTACTGTATAATGGTCAAGTAGACGTTGTAAGCTTTCCACCACGTTTGCTCTTCGTGAATAGGCAGACAGACGTGCACCGAAGAGTTGGGGCCAGTTGGGAAATCGAACACGTTGTGGCCGATGCCGTACGGCAGGCTGAACGCGATGCTGACCATCCAGATGACCACCAGCAGGAGCTTGGCGCTGCACTCGCTTAGCGCCTTGCGGTTCTTCAACGAGATGGCCCGCAAGCGGTCGACCGCGGAGGCGCTAAGCGTAAAGACGCTGACCGACAGCGACATGGTCTCGATGAACGGCACCAGGCTACACAGGAAGCTCGGCAGGAACCACTGCTGCAGCAGTGCTGCTTGGAACTTGAACGGAATGGCCAGCATACCGGTGACCATGTCGGCAACGGCCAGGTTGATGATGAAGTAGTTGGTGATCGTACGCAGCCGTGAGCACGAATAGAACACGTACAGTACGAGCAGGTTGCCGGAGATGGACAACGAAGCAATCAGACCGTACAGTATGAACCACACGGCCAGCTCGGCCTGGCCCAGCTGGTGCAGGCCGGCCGACAACGACATGTCACTGTCGTCCGAGGCGTTACCATTCATCGCTCGGCCAACACTGTTTCTGCAAGAAGAATGTCCTGCCTTTGACCGGCGTCAGCAACCAACCAGGTTAAACGCCATCGATCATCACCTGAAAAAAAAACACATAATCCATGTGTTCGCCGTAAGGAACGTAACGACTTTAAATGAAACATGATCGACAGACGAACGTCGCCCGCCTTTCTAACGACCACGAAGGCAAAATGCGTCGTCACTTCGTGATCGTCATCACGTTGAAAGCCTGATGGGCAACATTCATCTCCTCGGCCATCAAAGCCCTCAAACTG